TTGTTGGAGCTCGGCTGTTTGGTCTAGCTCGATTTTCTCCGCTCGCTTCACAAATTCTCATGCATGCAGGCCTTTGATGGAGTCAATATGACTAGCGAGAGAGCGCTGGCCATGTGATAATCTGTTTCTGATGGATATAAAGATTAGCAGTGCGACTGATGTCAAACTCTCACTACATTTTCTACCAACTCCGCTGCTCAGGACGTCACACAACAGTTAAATCCACATCAAAATCCATTTTTTCATGTTTACATACACCACAATCCGATGTTTAATTAACATGCTGATTTTTTTTGTCATATTTAACCGTGTGATGTTTTGTGCAATACTAACGTTCCTCAACAATGTGTATCAGTTTAGTCATCCTGTCTGGCGTTGTATCATCGCTATGAGTAAGTAGATATGAGCACAGCCGTATTAGAACGATGACTGTTTATCTAAGGGTGTTACAGCTTATCTCTTTTGATTGATATTTGATATTTTGGGAGCTAGATATTAATCATGCGGTTCAGTCTTATAATAATTAATAAGCAGCCTTTAAAATCATTTTTGTTCAAAGAGCATTTTCAGCAAGCCCCCTTTTTAAATCACTCTGTTATCATATATTGATGAGCAATCAGCAGAGGGAGACACGACTGCAGGCCACAGAGTGATTTAGAGCCGTGGAATGGTAAAGCATAGTGCTGCTCTAAGCGGGTTTTCGCTGAGATCCTTAGATGTGGCTCTGGCTTCAATTACACATAGCAACCAGATATTCCCTGGATAAGAGCAGAACGCAGATTTGTGCCAGGAAAGATTCTCTGTCCCATATACTGTCATGTCTGTCTCGGACAGCCATGCGGAAGCCGTAGGTCATTTCTGATCATATGACAGTTTAAGGCAGCAGCTTACAGATTATTGACCTTGAGGGGACTGAGAAGCTGTCTGGGAGAGAATTTGTCTAACCTTTTGACAGTTATATAGCAGCAGATATAGCCCAGCAAAAGAACACAGCTGGATCGACTCTACTGCCGCTCGGTTCTATCTGAAAATGAGCTGCGGAATCAGTCTGTGGATCTGAAATTTGATAAGTACAAACCTGCTGCATCTTTTTTTCCCCGACTAAAGCTGTCACATTTCGCTGCTGTTCTCTTATATCATAATTTATAACGCAGTCAAAATGATCCCGATGGCACATCGAGATAAGTGTTGTGGTCTGCTGGAAATATCTCCTAATGTGTACCATTGTGTCCAACTCCTGGTTTTCTTACCCTCTCGCCGTCTCTCACACCTCTCGCACACAGAAACATGCACACACGCACAGTCATCTGTCTCCATTTGAAGCAACTCTGCACAAAGAAGCACTTGTTCTGCGATCTGCAGTACTCATTTGTCAGTTGTGCAACAGCAGACAACCCAACACTTAATAACCTTGTGGCACAGTGCTAACCCTAAAGATGACTGCGGAGTTAAGTAATGGTGACATGTTGAATCCTCCTGTATACACAAGTCGCACTATAGATGAAAGATCTGCAGGAAATGTTAAAATTCTGTATTTACTAATGCAGTACTTTTTTTCTTTTCTTTTCTTTTCTTTTACATTGCTCTCCTTTACAGCCAAAACCGAACTGGAAACACAGGAGAAGCAGCTGGCAGACACTCAGAAGATGTAAGAGCTCCTTTCATGTTCACCTAAGAAATAAATGAAGCCACTTCTGTTCCATTCCGTGCGTTTACATCTGTTCTTTTCTCGAGTGTCAAAGCAGTGATCATACTTGTAAATTCGGAAGAAAAGAATAATGCAATCCACTACAGTTTGAAGTGAGATATTCTCACTGCAGAGGAGAAATATAATCTTGCTGCTTTGTCAATATTTATGAGCGCTGGTTCCTTCAATTACATGGAAGGTGCAGGCCGTCATGCCTGGCCTTCAGTAGACGGGAGGCCCCCTATGCAGTGTCTATGTTGTTTATCTAAGTGGAGCGAGAGTAGACAGCCATGGCTCCAGGCTTCTGTTACTGCTGGCTAGGAATGTGTTCCTATAGCACACTCCAAACAAAGAGACCCCAACCTGTCCACTATATTGATCCACTGCAAATGCCCACCACATTTAACACTTGAACATGCGTCACCCAGATGAAGCTTTTCTTTTTGCTAGATCTGTCTTTGTCATACGTCCTTTTTTTCCCTTCTTCTTCTTTCCACTCTTGCATCGCTTCCACACTAATATAATACGGGAACTTAAATCCTAGAGAGAGCAGTGACAAAGCAAAAATACTGCATGTGAGACGTATGTGAGCTTTATTTTAGCTCTAGGAGTTAAGCCGTCTGAATGACTGTGCTGCTTTTGTGGCATTATATGTTCACTGTTCTCTAAAATGCACAGTCATCATTGGTTTGGCTTTTTTTATGTGACTCTACTATTAAATCTCTGGAAAAAAAAGCATATTATTCCAAGCTTAACTTTCGTATTTTGCATATTTGCAAAGCGCTGCCAGGTTTCACAACAATCGGCGTAGGTTTCTGTAATCTCATGTTGTAATACTTTGGTCTTGAAGTAATGTTTTTGTTCTCTTTCCTCAGCTTCGTGGAGTTGAGCGTGTCCTTCTCGGTTAAACCCAAGGCGGGAGAGAAAGAAGTCTCTCCGAGCACACTCTTCTCCATTTGGCACGAGTTCTCCACAGATTTTAAAGACCAGTGGAAGAAGCAGAATAAGCTGATGTTACAGGAACGGTGAGAATAGGAACGGGAAGATAAGTTTCCTGTTTCACAATGTGACATTTCACTTGATACAGATACCTTCCCCCTGACGGGACACTTGAATGGCCTCCAAAAATCAAATCCTGCGGAGATATTAAATTTTTCTTCATTTGTCTCTCTCTCTTCGGGAAATCACTTTCTGACCCTTAAAATATCATTACAGATGCAACAATGTTCCTACATTTTGAATGTTCCCTGAGCTTAAGTTTCCGAACCATTAATAACTTGCAGTGCATCTCGTGTTCGCCGAAGATCCTATCAGATTCATTCAAATTCATGAAGGGAAAAGAGGGCAAATGACCCAAATCGTTGTCCTCACCCCAGTAATGAAAAGAACACATGCAGCATCCAGTTAGCTTCCAGTGGTTTGATGAATCTAAAGATATTGTTGCGTGTGTCAACAAAGAGCAAATTGGTCCATTATTTCCAATGAAGATTGAATTGTGATAATGTATTTGTAAGAGATAAAGATGTCATAGGCTTTGCTTGTTCAGTAGGAAAGAATCAGAACTAATTTGAAAGCCTCTTTGACCTTTGACATATTACGCAACCATTCCCGTTCGTTCTTCGCCACCGGAGCAATAGATAATAATCCTCACCTGTGCTGCACGAACACGCAAACACGCATCCCTGGTGCACGCATTACCTCTGTGGTGAGCAAGAGACAAGGTGCACGTCCGTTGGGATGAACTGTACTCACTCGATGCCAACGCGCTGATCATTCGTCTTTTTAAATACAAATCCGTAGTGACACGGCTGGCCCTCTCTTTGCAGTAGTAAACCAGAGTGAATCATTTCAGAGTAGGAGGACTGGCCCTTTGACAAACCAAAATCATTGTGTTCAAATACCACACAACCATAGCCTGGATGGTCCAAGCCTGAATTTTTGCACCGTGTCTTTCTGTTTTTTTTTTATGGCGAATTTCATCCGTGTGAATGAGTCCATCAAACGATTTGCTCCTCAGGTCTATAGGATGAATGGTGGTCATTGCTGTTTTTTTCTTTCTGTCAGGGTGAAAATGGCAGAGGAGTGCTTCAAACAGGCCAGGCAGAAGCCTTCCTACAATGTGACACCCAAACATGCAACTGGAATAGTATGTCTTCTCACTTCTTTTTCTTTTTTTTTGTCTGTTACTGTTTGGCCTCATCTGTTTTTTATTTAATGCAGCTCTGGCAGTACCTGGCCTCTTCTTTCCTCCCATGATGCAAATTGTCTCCGCGCTTAACAGATTCTTTTGCTTACAATTGCTTGTCAGAGTGTTAAGAAACAACACTCCTGGCTCTTACAGTAACATATTAGGATGAGCGCCAGTGCTGCGAGCTGTAAATAACTCAGACCTGTTTTTTTCTTCTTCTTCTTCTATTCCACAGAAAGCAAAGCTGGGTAAGAAGATCTGAAGCAGAGAACGGAAAATTATCATCACCAAGCCTGTTGCACAAGTGCTGTTTGTACAATCTGACGTGGCTCATCCGTCATTTTTAACGTTTATTCGAGTCCAGTGTTTGTTTTCAATTGATTTGGAGCTGTTGTTGATTATGAGTTGGTTCAAAGTGGATATTATATTGTTTAAAAGTGGAATGAGCCATTTCATCCTCAGCCACCCTTTGATAGCACTTGCATAATTAAATGAAATATTGCTACCAGAAGACGTCCTTAAGCTGAGATGATTAAATGTAGATTAGCTCTTTTCCAGAAAACACTCACTGGACTTTGACATTTGTAGCACTATAGCCAAGATTTAGTAGTATTTTGTACGCGATACGTAGCCGGTTTTCTTTTTCAGTGCAATTCCCGAGCCTGGTTTTTTTTTCTTTTAGGAAGGCATGACCACTTTTCTCTTTACATCTCCCTTAATGGTGAAAAGCACAGAATTTTATAGCATTTCTATCTGGATCTCCTGCCAGACAGTAAGTGCCTTATTGCACAGTGGAGCGGTTAAACGTGGAACAGTCCTTATTTTCGAGACATATCATCTGTAATTGAGACACTTAATCTGTTGGGAAAAAAATGACAGATTTAGTTTCTTAATAGTTTAATCAAGTGTGTTTTGGAACCTATTGGTAATTCTACAAATGTTTTACACACCTTCTCTGTCTTTTTTTCATTCAAACGGGCCACGTATTCCTAAATGTTATGACCTGATAAATTCCTACAATCCTGTGCAGTCAGTGTGAACTCCGGTATCCTAAAGGAGCAATAAGAACATGTGATGTGTGTTCCATGTGCAATACCATCAATATATTTTGACTGAATACCCATGACCGTGAGAAATATATTTATTGAATAAAAGAAATTACCTTAATTTTTTTATTAGAAATTCTGCTATTGCTGATCACTTTCTGTTTATCATTTGTCCAACTGTGATATGAAGCAGTACAGAACTACATGCACTCTAAGCACCACTTTTGTTTTATATGAAATAGATTTAATATACTTTTAACATACATACTTACACACATACATAAAATATATATACTGTATATATTGCATTGCACCTCCATTACACATGCTGCAGTATGTTTTTTTCCTACTGGCTAGTCGATTTGTGGCAAATGTACAGTATGCAGACAGGTTTGTGTCCAAACAGGTGGATGCCACTGGTCGGTCCTGTGTTGCTTCATGCATCAACTTCCTACAACATCCTAGAATTTATGGAAAAAAGTACAGGATAACACATATAATACTTGTAAAACCAGGCAAAAAACATACTGGCACACTGTGTAATTACTATAGATCCACCTGCAGAAGAAAAACATCTCATGTTACAGAAACTTTTTTTTTTTTAAGTGGTTGCACTCTTTCTACAGCAGGACACTGCGTTACCGTTCTTCCTCAGCATCCATCATGTTCTGTACTTTTTTTTATTTTTAAAAAAAGGCACTCTTTGCAATCTTTTGGGTAGATATAAACTTTTTTCAAAAAATGATAAAAACTTGTTCATTATTGAGCACAAGCAGCTTTACCGTCAGTGTCTCTTGTACAGTCACTAGGATCAGTCTTTTTTAAACTGCATTGACATGTTCAACATGGCTGCTCATCTCTAATTAAATCATTGTTTAGCCTTTGTTTAACACCAGGTCCATGTCACTTTATGGTAGCGAAAGTCATTTTCTGTACAACACGTTGCACAATAGTTCCACTTGAAGCCAGTCCTCATTTGACAAACTTGGTGAATCTCTGCCTTTGACAGTACATATATGTCATTTCAAATTTAAAAAGTCCTTCTTCACAGTTTCCCATGGCCGCTCACATCCACAGACATGCAGCGACACTGTTTGACCCTCTGCACCTTACGGTGCCTGAAAGGGGGCTGCAGGTCTGGGCAGTCTAGCTGCACTGTCAGCTGTGTGATGCGATGTGGCCTGCAGAAGGAGCAGGACTGAAATGGCTCCTGGGCTTTGTTGTGGTTTTTTCTTCCAGAGCCTGAGCCGTGGCCTCGATTCTGTCCATGGCTGGGGCCCATATGGCGTGGGATGTAGAAGGAGTTGCACTGGCCGTAGCAAAAACGGTTGACCACAGTGCGGCTGCGACAGCCCTCCTCACTGATTGTCTGACGAAGGGGTTGGGTCTTGCACCAGTCTCTGCGGAGGTAGCGCCGCTCTGTGACAACCAAGGCCTCCCGGCTGGAGGACAGCACCTCTGGTTTCTGCTGCAATAGCCGGTGGTGGCGTTCTGCGGACAGGTTCCCCTTGGTCTTGTATGGCGATGGGATGGATCCCTGGGGACGGTGCTTTTTGGTCTCTGCGGTGATGCAGAGCACCCCAGCCAGTATGACGGGGATAGTTATTCTCCACATCATTCTGCAAAAAGAGAGAGGCACTAATATGAACAGCATGGACAGACTCTTAAAATTATTAACAAAGAAGCCGTTGTAGCAGTAATTTAGGCAGAATTAGATGATGCTTGACATTCATACAGTTGCTAACCTGATACATTAATATTGCCAATCATGTTTGCAGTTCTGTGGATGTGCATTCATGTTTAACCACCTTCGCAGTCGAGCCCTCCAGGCATCATTGAGGAAATGAATCCATCACCAGGGCCCCCATTTGTCAGCATCTCTGTGTCATTACTTCTATTTGCTTTCCTCTCGGCTACGCAACTCTTCCAAAAATAAACAAAGCCCTGCCATCAAAGGATACTCTTAAACACCCATAACGAGAAGGGGAAGTTGATTTTATTGGTCCCGTCGCTGGGTAAAATAATTAGGGCTTTGCTTACTTTAGTCATGAACTATGCCGCAGATATGTAAACAGGCATTAGAGAGGCCCATCTGCATGTTATTAGGGGAAGAGTTGGGGAGCTGTACATTTGGAAGTCCACTCTTCTACTCTTTGGTGATATACTACTGAGAAAACTGAACTGAGAGTGACCCATAGTGTCCATAATCGCCACAGTGTCTTCTGTATCATGCTAGCACCAGAAAGATAGAACGATCTGGAGAAATGATTGTTCCGCCATTCGGGATGGAGTATCCACCCGTGTGCATGCTGTCAGTGTTTGCGCCAGCACATTTTTGACCATCACTCAAGCATCTTTTCAGCAGATGTTGCTTTTGACAAGCGTTGCATGACATCAAGTCAGAAATTCTGACAGAGAACCAAACTGCCTCAAGGCCATTGGCCGCTACTATTCACAGACTCTTCTTTGCTGTGCAAATTTGTATGTTCCCTTTCTTCCTTTCCTGGACCTGCACCTCCCTCTGACATGGAACAAATTACTTTTGCGTAATCCACTTTGTTTTTTGCTCCTTTCTTTTTTTTTATTGCCCTTGACCCCGAGGTCATGGCAGCTCTGTCCAAGATGCAGGAGCACTCGAGTCTGTATATCACTGTCCAGCAGCATTTGCCATAAGCTAGACAGCAGCTGTTTGTCCATTCAGCTGAGATGTAGTATGAATTCTGACATTCTTTCTATAGACCATCGAGCCATATGCTGGAGTTACATAGAAGTTGATGATGCATTCTAACTTTTATTGCTTTCTAGTTCAAATCAGATTTTTTTTAAAAATCTGTTTGGTTCACTTTTCGTGTTTTCTTCAACCTGTGCCAGAAAATCTGATCGAGCATACTGCTGATGTAATGATGCTGAGAAGAGAAATGCATTTTGAAATCAATTCTCTCTCGGAAGAGCGCTGAAAAATTATTTGTATTTTTGTCAACCGTAGCTGCCCAGATATCTTTCTCAGATATACAAACTGAACATCAGTGCATGAGTGTTTCTGCTGTGGGCACACATTTTTGCATACACACAAGCCAGCATGCACACCCACGCACACCTATTGCAAGGTTAGAATAACTAAACTAAAGACTCCCACCGGGTCCCTCCACCACCTACTGCATCAGGGAGTCATGACCCCACTCCATCTTCCAATGATCTACCTTCCATGTACAATGCAGCCTCATTTGTCTTTAGCTGCACCGTTTTATTTCTGCTGACTGTAAATTTAAGTGCATGAACCCCTGGTCGGAGCAACAGGCTGCGCTTCTGTGTGGAGGCACATTTTCGCTGTTTCCCTTTTCTCCCGCTATCAGTCTATTAAAGAGGCACCCTGTGACACCGGTGAGCTACAGTCTGGATGGCCCCAGGGACTCAGGAGGGATGACCTGACCGACTGTGTACATAGGGCATGACGGATGGCCTGTACAGTCAGCCACCGCGCTACCTCTCCACCCCCAAACTCAGCCCTAAGTATGATAGTGCGGGCCCTGCCAAGCTATCCTCATCAATCTCTGCGGCAAGACAAATTGCGGTTTTGGGGTAGGGATTGAGGGACTTTGGGGGGGAGCGATGAAGTGGATGGGTGGGTGTTTAGCGGTTGGGGATGGAAGATAGAAAAAGGGGCTTGAAGGGATGGTGGAGTTTGGGACAGATGACCTACTGGGAAGCAAAACCAACATCACTCGGGCTTCATGGAGAGTATAGACCCTCCTCCCACAAGCGTATATATATATATATCTCCACATGCTGTTTGTCTCTCTATTTCTTTCTCTGTCACCGTGTCCGTCCCTCCTCGACACAAGGCACTAATCATCACACGGTCCTGGAGACGGAAGGAGACTGTGGTTTCGTGTGTTAATGCTGAGACAGAACCGAAGCGGACCTTTCTGTCTGCTAAACACTAATATCGTCCACAAACACAGCTTTATGTTTTACCAGAACCACAAATACTTTGGATATGCTTCACTGAACTGTGGCAGACCTTGGTTCCAAAATTCAAACCTCTAATGAAATTACAAATGCCAGAAACAAATACCAGAAACACTGCTGAGCTAGACACAAACCTTTTAGAAAACAACTATTATCATCAGTGGGAACTTGTTATGTTTTGTTTTTCAGAATGGCATGATAATTCCATGGTAATGTTTTCTGTCTGGATAACAACAGGTCTTTTTTTTCCTCTTCTCTTTCTTCAAATCTCAATGAAAAACACAATTAGTCATGACGCTCTCCAGCCTAGCCGCTAAATATTTTAATATTTCACATGTTTAGCTGTTAAATAATTGAAAAAAGAACCCGAGAATCGTTTCAAGGCTTTCAAATTTGTACACGCAGATGTACTTCCACTAAACCATGTGAGACATCTTCCCAGCATGTCTTCAAAGGCAGGTTAAAACAAACAAAACCTGATGCCTCAATTATTGGTGCGTCAGAAAGTCTCATACGGAGACTGGTAAGTGCAGTTAATTACAGTAGAACTGCATTTAATTCACCGTGCAGCTCGAACCTCAATCACACACGAGCAGACGGATACACACTCGCGCGCACGCACGCACACACCCATGTGCGACCACACACGTGCACGTAATCACACACGCAGGCTCGAACACACATACACAGGATATAAAGAGGGAAAGAGAGGTAAATGAAATGTTTTCACTTGGAGCCAATTACACAAAGAGGAACCATGTCATTATCTGCATTTGCGGATTGTATTTTCCCAAACTACGCTTGGCTGTTGGCTCATTAACAGTTGGGGGGTTGGTGGTGGTGGGGTGGGGGGGGTCCTTTCGGGGGCTTTGCTGTGTAAATGTGTCTAATGCCAACATTGCCAGGAGGCTGCTTTAGGCAGTTTGGGCAGCCATTTGTCACCACAATCCATCTTGATAATGACTAGCAGCCCAGATATAATGCTTTCCAAGTTAAGTACTGGCAAGAATGCGAGGCAACTCCTTGGGCTCGGCAATATAAAGTGCTTTAGTGGAGGATGAAGGGCAATTAGAGATGCTACGATAATGCCGGGGTTCTCGTTGCAGATCAGGATGACACGATTTAGCAGCAGCAATTAACACCACCTTCCACTGGATGTTGTTTCCTCTTGAGTAGCTTTAAGGTCGCTAACATGGCCTCACTTCACACCGTTTCACATCTTTCAAGCCCCAGATTTCATGAATTGTCACGGCTTTACGGGTTCATTAAATGGACTTATTCTTGATGTCTTGAGCATAACTTTATGTGTCTGTATCTTAATGACATCAGGATCCCTATTAGGATTTAAATGGCACAAGTTTGCAATAAGTGACAAATCCATCAGGCAGCTGCGTAGTACTCTGGTTTAAATTAATTCTTTTATTTTGCTCACATTTACTTGGTTTGATGTCAACAGAAATAGTCACCACAACTGGTCAAAACGCTGTTTTAATCCACTCCCCCTTAGCGGTTGTTCAAAAACATTAATTTCACGTGTTAACAGTGTTGCCAAGGTTTCTATCAAACACTGGTTTCGCTATCTGTAGAGGCTTAACAATGAAGTGTTTTCTATTGCTAAAGAAACCACATTGTGTCTATGCGCTAAATCCTCTTTGACATCAGAGCAGATTGTACAAGGTGGTGCAGTCACCGGAGCTGTAAGCAGGATCAGAAGGCAAACTCCCCACCATTCACCACACGCATACTGCTGGAACACACGCACACATATGTTCGCACACCAGCTCGGATACACATTAGCACGCACATGATTACACGCGGATATACACCTGTAGATATGAATGCAGAGAAAGTGTGTAGGGGTTATTTTGTGCACACACAGAATACAGGTTCGCTATTAACATCATTAAGTCTTATTCTGTCAGTGGAAGAGCTAAACCGACTTTTAATCTCATTGAGGAGCTCAGTACATATTGAACATATTGTCATCACTCCCTAATTCTCTCACTCACAACACTAATTACCTGGAAACCTCCAGCCACTAATTATAGTAATTTCGCAGACGCTTTTATCCCGGACACCTAACAGTGCCTTGAAGGTGTATATTCTTTTTACAATGGGTGGCCCCAGTGGGAATCAAACCATCACCGCCAGCAGAAATACTAAATAGCTGTACAAGTACGGCTGTTCCAATTACATGGTTCTGTGCTTAGTCATCCATAGACCCATTGAGTCACTCAGTCTCACACTCACGTGGGATATGTCGATCCAGCTCTGTGTGAGCTCCACTTTTCACAGTAAATTCAAATTGGTACTTTCAGATATATAACCACTATTTCCTCTCACAAGCAGCGAAACTGTCCATCTTTAAAGCGTGTGTCATTAGAGTTTGAAATCCTGTTATTTAAAATGATAATTCAGCCAGATAATGCCGGGTAATGTACAAACCCATGTGCATCATCTTGCATCAGAAACTTTCCTGAATGAAGCGGCGTTAATTTGGAATTACTGCATGCTGTTTGTTGCGGTAGCTGACATTCAGAATCAGTTCTTTCAACTTGTAAACCTGTTGAAAATGCCTCCTTAATCCTTAAATACAGTGCTCACCTGTAGATAAGTGAATAAGTGTTATCAGAGCAAAGCGTGAAGTACGGTTCATGTACCTCTCAGCACAGCGGGACAGTAATGTGTTGAGGATGCAGTCAAGGGAGATTGTCCACCTTCAGTGGTCCTTGCGTCCGCTTCCAGGTTCTGGTTTCCATGGCAACATAATCTGTAGTATCCTCAGGCTTGTCCTTGCTCCTCTCTTCTTTTTTTTTCCCCCTCCCGCTGAAGACTCAAAGTGTTGGACACGCTCAGTTTTCCATCCTCCTAGACGAGCTGTATCTCTTCTTGCTTTCAGCCTGAGTCTAATTTTCTCTTTTTAGTCTTTTTTTTTTTTTGGTTTGAGGTTTAAGAGGGACGCTCCGGAGTTCAGTCACAGTAAGCCCATATCTTAGTGCTGTGGAGACTGTCTGCAGTCTGTCTTTGAGAGTGTTTGAGTCACTGTAAAGCCTGCCTCAGTTTGAATCCCCACCACCCCCTTCCCTCCTCAAGACTGGGAGGGTTTTTCCTATTGGCCCTGGTCATTGTGTGAATCAAACCGAGCTTCCCTTCTTTCATTTAATGTGGTCTCTTCCTGTATCTGTGCCTGTTGATATCTTTTCATCTTTTTATTTTTTATATTACCCATCCATAATATATCATACCTATCAATATGACATTCCTTTTTTTTCTTTTTCTTCTTTTCTTATTTATGAGTTCTCTTTCCCTCTTTTTGTGTGTTTGACATTGTTTAGGAAGCGGATGAGATTTTGCCACCGTGGACAGAAAAAAAAAAAGGCGGTGAAGAAACCATGATTTCCTCCAAATTCCTTAAATTATCCTCTCTTATTGGCACTGAGGCCACACCACATTAAAATCCATAACCTCCGATGCATAAATCATCGTATACATGCACCCAGACGCACGAAGAGCACGCTTTGAAAAATGCCACAATTCACATTCCTTGATGCAACGGAGACAATGATGTTTGTCTCTTTTGCGGCTCTCGCTAAGCTGACCACTGGGCACCGAGACAGAAAACGCTGACTGTCACCCTGCCATCAAAGAGCTGAAACATCAACAGACCCTGCAAAACCTCAGATGGGTGAAGTCTGAACAATAACCCCTTCAGCAGACCAGAGGATGATGACACTGTTGCATGACAAAACTTCATTTGTCTGTGGAGTACAGTGGTGCATTTTGCTGATCTGTGTTGAATGCTTGCTGGTTGTTAACAGGAGCCAGTAGGAAATAATGTATCGCCCTCTAGTGGCAGAAAGCAGAAGTGCACGATTTAAGCATACTCCTTGTGGAACTAAATTCAATGCTAAATTGGCAAACGTTTTTAAAAAATAATCCAAGCCCAAGCCATAGTAACAGATAAAGGGCCAACTTTAATAATACAAGTAAGTAAAAGTGTCTTTAAATATGGTATAAAAATAAATGCAGGAGAGAATAACAAAGAATTATGTTCTGCGTAAGACAGGAGACAGCATTTCTGTAAATTTGAATGTGACTTTACAGGTGCAATGAAAACCATATGTGCTAATTATTGTAGTGCAATAAAATAATGCAAAGCAAAATAAATGCACAATAAATAATCATAATCATAATCATAATATATATATGTATATATACTGTATATTGTATATTCATTCTGCACAACACTTCCCATAGCGTGACAAAGTATCTGTGACCTCAGATCATGTAAAGCGATGACATTGGTTAGGTTTATCAGTTTAAGCTGTCATTTTATATTTTTTTCTACTTGTTTTTTTTTTTCTTTTTTTTCCTTTTTTTTCTCTTTTTTCTCTCTGACATCATTTGTTTCAGCTGGAAGTGAGAGAGGGGGCTCCGATTCCAGCTGTTACGATGGAAAGAACTGGAGCGCTGGACTCGACTTTTTCTTCAGTGACATTTTTCATCTCGACAGTCTGTCAGTGTCCTCACAAGTCCAGCAGTGCCTCCTTTTCTGAGAATACTGGAAATATATCAGGTACTGAAAGAGGAGAGAGAAGAAGGAACATCCTCTCCATGGACATGCAACATCCTGTGGACAACAGACGAACAGACGGCTTGGCTCATCATCCGGCCGAGCCAAGAGCAGATGACAGACAATGATGATGAAGAGATGAGATGGTTCCCCCTCCCCTCCATGTCCCAGAGAGAGAGATGGCATTGATTTTAGCATGATGGCACAAGACTGGTCAATCTCTTGGATGCCAGTAGTTTCTCCGGAGCTGGGAGAAGAGAAAGGAAGGCAGAAGAGAGAAGTGGAAAAGAGAATGAGGTACATATTTAATTGGGAGATTGGGAGCATAAATACAATTATTTTCTGCACAGATATGTTGCTAGAATTAGACATGTTTTACTTTAAGCACAAGTGAAATCTAACGTAACATTCCTTATAACATGTATGCATATTAAATGCTAAAAAACTGGCTATTGCAAGACATTTACTACTGTTCAAAGTATCAGTGACAACAACTAAATAACAAAGTGTAGCAGGCTTTATTTCATATTGGACATTACCTGGGAGCAAGAGCCTTCAGAACAAGTTCTTACTTTTCTGTGGAGATAAAAAAAAAAAGGTATATTGTTGAAAAAGAAAATGACCATGCAGAGGTTGCAGAGGCCCATACGTAACAGTTTGCAAGCTTAGATATGCAAGACTTGTAGTTTCAGTTAACTCAAAAATAGAACAGAGAATTATAAAGCTGTAAAACCTGTATGACAACCTCCACTTTACTGCTTTTGCATCATATTTCATCACAGAGAAAAAACAAATATAACACACCCCAGAAAATGATGTGGATTTAGCAGTTTCTTATTTTATTTTTATTTATTTTTTTAAACCCTGGATATAATATTAAAATCTTCTTTGTCAGAATGACAGGCGGGGAACGAGTAGGAGGCATTTAGACGGAGTGGGTTTTAAGTGCATAAATACACCTGTGTAATTCTGAATTATTCGTCATGTTATGACAGCCCTTGTTTTTTCTGCTATTCATAATAGTTTCTACAAGCGCGACAGGAGTCCTAATCGGCTAATCCATCAACCACACCTGAAACAGATTAGTTTATATGTTATATTCACTCCCTCCCACATCTGGCCGTGGTTGCGGTTGCTGTAATGCAGGTTCCATGTCTTTGACTTGGTTTGCACCTTTAGGCAACTCCACTGTCTATCACCACAGAAATTTTACATCCATTTCATATACAGTGCAGTTTTATGAACCACATATAATTGACTTGAGCCTACATTTAAATTAGTTTTGGTCTGAAGCCAAATGACAAAATGTAATTTTGAATTAGTTGCCTGGAGTTCTAAAACCACTGTGAACAACATCTAACACAGACTAACGGTTGTGCAGCAGCATTAAGCATGCACTAACATCTACATGGATGTTTCTGCATCTCATCTTGTTTTCAGTCTCTGACATTTATCATTTACAGTGAGGCTGTGTGTGTTTTTTTTTACCTTCTTCTTGGCCTGTAATAATTCCTGGTAGGCACTGGAACGGATGAATCGGCTGTAAGAATCGCTTTTCATCAACTTGTAGATGTGTTCCTGTTGCAGAAACACATAATGCAAGAATAGTACATACAAATGTCAGACACAGGTAAACCACTGTGCTGAACAGAAATGAGGAAATGCAATATTTCACTGCTCCCCGAGACAAAGGTGCGATTTATGAACTGCTATGAGCGAAGGTGTTAACTTGGATCAGCTACACTCTGCGGTGTTAAGACCAGCAGCGGTGTTTCAGTGGAAAGCTGAGCTATTCTTTCCTTATCAGTGATGTTAATTGTAATACAGGCCTGTGGTTGCGACTTAATGTATAATTTGCTGTTGAACAGAAGCTTACCTGTGCATCCTCAAAGGCGTAGCGTCCGGGATCTTTAACATTCTGGGTGGTTTTGTCGTAGCTCTTGGAGTCCACGTTGATGGCACTGGGCGCACCGGGAGCCAGAAACTCCTGCCAGATCTCTTGAACTCGAGTGGGAACTTCTCTGATTGGACGCTTCTTTAATTCCTGGACCGCTAACCAGAACCTACAAACCAAAGGTAACAGAATAGATTAGGAGTAGTAGCTCTAAACAGTCCACATGAATCCACAGTGGTACCATTTCTGTCCTTCTCCCCTGAATACTCATCTCTGTGTATCAGAGTTACATATTTGGATGTGTTTTTCCATGAAAATAATCCCTTCCTGCCATAAAATTGCTTCGATGTAACTCTATGCTGTTGCCTCTTTTAGAATGTGCAGCTCTGTGAGGTCCTAGGACTCAAACACTCTAAACCTGCTCTACACTACACAACGGTAAGCTGTAATATTGGAGCGATTCAGCCAGACATGTTCAACCCGGAAACCAATTCTGAATGAAGCATAAGACAGACGGAAAGCAGCAAGGTTTCTAACATCCCAGAAGTCTGATTCTGTGTATTTGAGACTGTCATTAGAGCACAACAATTTCAAGGTGGAAATGCTCAGCCACTGCTTATTTTGCTCATGATATGTCCTCCAGCATATAAAAACACCATCTGGCCATGTTAAGAAGTTAAAAAAAAAGATTCTCCCTGGAGGAGATCTTTAAAATATTCAAGAGTTATTCATTTGTCAAAGTCTGACGTCAAACTAGTCCAGAAATGACATCTTTTGGTAGAACGGCATGGAAGTCAGATCAGCTCAGAGTGCACTGGGTTTAAAAAAACATAAAGACAGCTGACAACTCCTTTTAATATGCACACATTTAGTTAAGAAAATCATCTCCAATAATAATTCTCCTTTCAGGGTTGCACATATCACACTGAGGAATTTGCTCTATCGTCTTGTCGTCAGAGAAGAGAAGGAAAAAAAATGAACACACGGTAATAAACGTAACAGTAAGATTTACTCCGGGGCACCTTAGCGGAGGAGGATGGTAAAAATTTTAATATTAAAAATTCTAAGTTGAATTGGGGTTAATACAGCCGTGAATGTCAGTATTCTTCTTTCTAGTAATGCATACCATAATTTAGAGTTCAAATGTTGCCGACCCGACTGAGAATGTGCTCTCATTAAACTGACCCCATTATCGGCTTTGGGTGGAAACAATACAGGCATGTGCCATGTGAGGGAGCAGAGGAGCCATCAGTGGATACTCGATTCATATTTAGTCGTTTCTATGCGCTTTTGACGCTCTGCAGTATTCCTGTAACCGTGAATATATTGAACAACATAGCATTACTCTACAAAGTACCACAGCAGTGCATATTTTAAAAAGCAGCATCCACCCGCTATCCCTGCTAATATTAATATTTAATATTGCTCCAGGTTACATATTATACATGGCAAAAAGCAATAACTTGTTGCTACATATATACACACACAAACAATTTGTACAGACAATAAAGACCCATTAAAATGAGGTATTATTGATCATGTTTTCATCACCAGAGAAGCACAGATTGCTGATTTACCCAATCTTACCATATGGACATGTACAGTGTGATTCCTGCAATATATGCGCTGCATGTTTCTGTGTAATATGACCAGATCATTTGCATATGTGTGTGTGTGTGTGCGGGGGGAGAAAGTGTGAATTAAATCCTCCACAGTCGCTCCTGTGTGCTTGTATTAATCACATCATTGCGACGAATATATGTACATACATTTTGTGGACCCATGTCTGAGCAAAAAGCTACTTCTACAAACGGTAAAACCACATAGTTTAGGGTTAAATTGTGTTTTATGAGGTTGAGAATCTCCAATAGGGGAAACTATAAGGGTTGGGATTATGCATATAGCAGCTACAGTTAAAGGTACAGTTCATAATCTTACCTTAAAATTGCTTTTCACTTGTAGGTAATGGTTGCAGTGCAGATTAACATATTACATATTAAATTTAGGATCATCTCATAAAACATGATGGATGGCATTAGACTCCCTGTCTACCTCACTATTGCGTATTCAGTAATAGTTCAAATGAGCTCTATCCTGACCAACTACAACATTAAAATGCTGCACATGTATTATTGGACCAAAGATAAGAACTAAAAAAAAATAAATTACTAAATCTAAAATTTTGACATTCTAAAAGGGGCCATCTGCATAATAAGTACCTTCACTTCTGATACTTTAAATAGATTCTGCTGATAACAATTTTGTACTATGAATGCAGGACTATTAGTAAAAACTGGGCATTTTTACGCTGCTGCATTGGCCCTTATTACCTCTGTGCTCCTTCCAGCACGGCTGACACGACTTTAAATACGCAAATTAGCACAACATGGCACTATATCTAAGCTATAGGCAGTTATGGTTATTTATGACACCGTAAATGGTTTGTTGACATCACTGTGGAGTAAACATGGTCGTAAAACTGTCCCATATTGCAATTATAATCAACAGTGAAACAAAATGCGATTATATTCTGGTGGAAGTCAAACTCTCTAATCATGCATATGACTATATTTCATATTTATGTCCATATTTCAGTCAAATATAGAGTGAGGCTTTACGGTTAAGTTAAGCATCTAATGAATTTATGTAGGCGATGCAATATTGTCATAAGTAATGAATGGTGTGCGTGTGTGTGCATGCTGATTCCAATGAAAGTGTATTTTGTCATGTACCTGAGATTCTCTGAGCTGAACTCAGACTCCAGGAACTTGAGGAACTGCTCTCTCCCAACAGGGTCTTTGAGAACCTCATCAATGCCGAAAGCCCACCTCTTTACCCTCTGCTGGCCTGGCTCCTTACTGGAGGAAGACACACAAACATGCAACAGATCTTTGTCAGACCACGTATGTGTCCCACTAATAACTCTGTCAGCTTTAATGATACATGAACTCATCCATATCTCCATCTATGGTGCCTGTAAAAAGTATTTATCCGCCTTGAAAATGTTCCCCTTGTATTGTTTTTTAACATTTAATCAATTTAAGTTGGCATTTTTTACAAGAATCTACAAGAAAAGACGTACCAGTCAAAGTGAAAACTGATTGTGTTTTGACAAAATGTACAAAAGTGATCTCATAAGTACACAGTACACAGTTAGTAAAATGGAGATCATCTTCAATGTGGCATGTGACTGTAGTATAAAGACACCTGTATCTGGGAGGTCCAGTCACTGGTGAATCAATACTCCTGACTATGATGAGCGCATGAAGACAAAAGAACACTGAGAGCAATTTTGTGAAAAGGTTATTAAAAAGCATAAGTCAGGGGATGAACACCAAAAAATGTCCAAGTTACGGAATATCCTTCAGTGCCAGTTAAATCCATCGTTAAGACATAGACGGAGTGTGGTATAAATCTTCCTATAGCAGGTCGTCCTTAAAAACTGAGTGACTGTACAAGAAAGTGTCATGTCTGTCAAGTTTCTGTTCATGTATGCACGTTATGTCTCGTCTTTCCTGTTGTATTTTGAAATCATTTCACTGGGTGTTCTGTTCTAGTTTTACTTCCTGTACCTGTCTCGTCTCACCTGCTCCCTGATTACCTCCCCTCACCTGTTTCCCATTCACCCTCATTACCTCGTGTATTTTACCCTGTGTGTCTCACTGTCTCGTCGCCAGTTCGTTGCACTTCACAGTCCTCGTACCAGCGTTATTCAAGTTAAGTCACAGTCTGTTTGATCTCGACCTTGTTTCTGCTTTTTGGACCTTGCCTCTGCCCGCCGATTCTTGGATGCTTCTGCCTGTTGGACTGTGTACCGAACCCTGACTGCCATTAAACCTGTCGTTTGCCTGAACCTACTGAGTCAAGCATTTGTGTCCACCCATTCTGTTGGTGAGTTCATGACAGAAAGATATTAGTGATGGAGGCCACCAAGACACTTATGATTCCTCAGAAGGAGTTACAAGCTTCAGTGGCTGAGATGGCAGACAACAAGTAGCGCCCCAGGTCTACACCACTTAACGCTTTATGAGAGAGGAACACAATATATTAAATCCCAAGCAGAGTTTGCCAGAAGGCATGTGGGAGACTATATAGTCACCTGGAAGAAGGTTATTTGGTCTGATGAGACCAAAATTGACCATCAGACTTGAAACAGTGTTAGGCAGACACCAGTCACTGCACACAATCACAAACACACCATCCCAAGTGTGAAGCATGGTGGTGGCACCATCATGATGTGGAGGTGTTTGTCGGTGCTGGAAGGCTTGTGAATGTTGAGGGTGAAATGACTGCAGCAAAGCTTAGGGAAATCCTGAAGGACAACCTGATGCAAGAGAACTGCACGTTGGGAGTAGATTTGTTTTTCAGCAAGACAATTACCTGAAGCATACAGCCAAAGCTACACAGAAAGGGTTTGAAAACAACAAAGCAAATGTTGTGGAGTGCCTGGTTCAGAGCCCAGACTTCAACTCAATTGAGAATTTGTGGCTTGACTTGAAAAGGGCTGATTACTCATGACCCCAGTGCAGCCTGGCAGTTTTGCAAAGAAGAATGGGGTAAAAAAACAAAACAAAACAACAAAAAAGTGTGGTGTCGTGGAAGGTCGATTAAGACCTATCAACACTGGCTTTGTGCTGCAATTGCAGTGAAAAGGGGCATCCACTAAACACTTGAAAGGGGTGAACACTCATTTAATCACTTATTTTATGTTTTATATTTTGAACTCATGAAGATAATTTTGTAGAAATCTGTTTCACTTTGACATGAAAGACATTTATTTTGTAAATTCTTTCAAAAAAAGGCTAATTAAAGCAATAAAAGGGGAAAACCTCTGTAAATATCTCTTCTGCTCTTTCTCTCGTGACATGCACCCACCTGGCTTCGAGCTCCCACAGTGTGGTGTCATCTGAGATCCAGGGGTTGGATGGGTCTGGAGGCGTGAGGAAGGGGTCGTATTCAACGTACTGCTCCGTGTAGCCAAGCAAACTGTTGGGTAAGTGAAACAAAATTTGAGTGCATAATAATCTTGTCATCATCTCTGGTGAAACTATGCTCCGTACCTTTCTGTGAGTGATTATGAACGGGTTGTTTATTTGTAAGATTTGACTGACAAAAGGAGAAGTGAAATCCTCTTAAGAGCAAATACTTTAAATTGAAATGAAGTGTAGAGCTCGACAAGAGGGAACCGAATACGTCTCTCTTTCCGGTGAAGCGAATGACTAATAGGCACTTTGCGCGGCATTCGGCATCCAGCATCGTCAACGCTGACGACAACTGAAGGCATTGTCGAGGCCCGAACACTCCTCAAGGTCATCTGAGTTCTTAATTCCATGCCACGTTAGGCCGTTTAAAGGCTCAATAAACAGATCGATGGCTAAACTGAATAAAGACACAAAGGACATCACTCACCTCTCTGCCACTTTGGACATTTTCAGTCGATGCCTGTCTAACTGCAATTGCCAGAAGGTGATCTGAAACAAAAGCGAGGAACAATTAGTATACTGTGGTATTGGAATTTATGTCAAAATGTCAATTTGCAAGTTCATTTCTATACTAACTGCATGATTTGCAGTTTAAATTCTATTATATTGACTACATCATGTTTATTGATGCAACTAAATAATAATTCTTATTAAACGGGGACCAATACTATAAATCGCATACCAAAAATGATGCAGCAATGAACCAGTTCGAGTGGTAATATTGACCTCAAATTATTAAAGATCCTGATGCTAATACTAGAGCGCCACCTGCAGGCCTAACCTGTTCCTGCAGTTCTTCTTCTGTGGGCTGCTTGGCCTCTGGAGCGGGGGTGTGGGTTGGGCTGTGGGTACGGATATCATTCTGCAGCCCATACACAGACTAATACAACAAAAAAAAATACAACTGAATTATCAACAGTAGTAGTTTTGTGGACAAGCACAACATGGAAAACTAAGCACGTAGTATACCTTTCTAGTTTTGTGGGGGTTTTTCATTCTGGAGGACTTCTTTATGTCAACTTCTGTCGTATTCACACATCCAGGCTGTGAGAAGAGTGAGGAGAAATTCAGAAAACATCGAGTAAATCCTCATTATCCTGGAGTATACTGCACTCCTAGAGCATCGCATGTACTTGATACTTTACTCTCGGATGATGCCACAATGGGTGAAGGGGCAATTTTTCCCCAGATATATAAATGTCAGTTAATCCAATCCATTATGCTTAGCTGGGGTGTGAAGTGATTCTTCGAATTCTCCGGGACAATGTGTCAGATGCTGGTTAATTAAACAGGGAATGCGCCAGTTCTAGCAAAACAAGTAAACCAGCGGGAAATTCTTCGTGTGCAAATACTGGCTGATTGAACAAGTGGTCTAATCTAGGCCTCTTCCAAAAGAACAGAGCTAAGTAGCTTGACGGCGTCACTGTGAAATTTAAATTAATATTGATTATGTTGCTCCAAGGACGCATAAATTGAACTTGTTATTTTCCAATTAACCGTGGAGCAGTGGCTTTCGGAGAAATACAGCAGAGGAGACCCTTTAACCTCAGGGGGAAACTAAATGCTAATGCTAAGCAAGTGTGTAGGAACAAGGTAAAGAGCAGCACTGAAGCTGATGTGTTGTGACAGTTATTGATGTGGCATTTCATGTGTATGGCAAAGGCAAATACACAGCAGAGGATCTGCAGTGGGTTCACTTCTTTGCACCATTTAAATGTTACAGGAAGCACGTATACGTCATACAAAAACTGCCTCGTCTTTGAAGCGAAGATTGACGCGTCGATACCTCGCGTTAAATGCGTAGAATAGATTAAAATAACCCAAACACTCGATCTAATTATTTTTCTGACTTGAAAGATGTAGCAGAGTGTGGTGGGAATTGAATCACTTTTTCAATTTTATTTACTTTTGCAGGAACAATTAAGATGACACTGATAATATCAACAGGGATATCGGTTATCGCAAAGTGATTATGACACCAGTAATTTCACTCACCACTGGTCTGTGCACGTCCCAGAATGCTCTTTCCTGACTGTCAAGAATTTTCCTCTCGATTTTGTCTCTTTTCTTGTCCACCCTGGAGGGAAAAAAAAAGCAGCTCAGATCTGTTCTGACAGAGCATGTAGCTGAATCCAAAACATACATGATACATTTACAGGGTAATTACAGGGAAGCTGCATTTAAACATAAACTTTAACGATGTCATAATGAGACTGTAAGAAGATTTATTCCCAATGGCTCAATGCATGTGTGTTACATATAGAAACCTACTTTGCTTGTGCTTCTGCTTGCATAAAAATGAACTCCCATTTCCTGGCGAAAGCTCTCTGTAGCCTTGCTAAGCTCTCCTGTAAGTAAAACAAAGAGCGAACAGGAAAAGAAAGGCTTTTGAGGGATCCGGGCTGATTATGTTTTCTGCACATGCTGTGTACAGTGCACGGCTGGATACCATCTTTATTGATCCCTGCCCACATACAAAAGAAAAAAAACCCACTGGAATAACTAACCCAGTGATTCATTTAATAGCTTGGGTGAGAAAAAATGTTACAAATTATGCAGTGACACACAGAAAAAACAAATGTTCTCACTGTCAGTATGAACAAAAAGGCAAGAGAGAAAGCCTGAGAGCAGTGCCAGCACAGGAACAGATATTTGAAGAGGAGAGTGCTGACACTAAAACACCTCTTTCACTTACCGCTTCATAGTCTGCAAGCTCCAGACGCGCTTTATTTTGCATTGTTCTTTTGCAGAGGTAAACAGCTGGGAGAGACAGACACAGAGATTGGTAATTAAGGGAGAACAGGATCTCGGCTTCGTTTTAACAGCCTTAAGTGGCCCTGCGTTTATTCATTTAATCCTCTCAACTGCACATTTAAACTGGCCTGCAAATCACAAAGGTCATTTTACTGTGCATGCTTGTGTATGCGTCTGTTGCTGTGTGCGATTGTGTGTGTGCATGCGTCTGACTTTTGATGCCTTCCTGAACTACCTTCATCTCTTTGTTAACTGACCATAATGCGGGTGCTTCATTATGCCATTAGACTGTTTTCATTACGGGGCATCATTCACGTGAATCAGTTGCTGCATCTCAAAACACTCTAACTTCCCCCCTAACACCCGCAGGATTATTCCCACAGCGAGCATTAGGGCCTTTTCCTCTCCCGACAACTCAAACAACAAATGAAAGACCTGCAAGGGCGCGGCTATTCACCAGACCATTTTGGGCATTATGAAAGCTTTATCTCCACTCTGCTTGGCTGTAACAATGAAAAGCTCATCCCTGTATCGCCACTAAAAATATTCAGCCAACTGTGCACAACAGGTGCACGCATACAAACACATCCCTGTTTTCCTTCACAGTAATCACTCTGCATCCGTCAGAGAGTGTGACTGTGGCAGACACTGTTGACTGAGGCTGCAAAGCACTGACAGTATGAATATATGAAATGTAAATTATTGCATGCCCGTTGCAGTATAACTGATTGCAATTGTGGGCCAAGCATTGGAGTAGAACTAAAATGTGATGTTTGGGTTTCTCTCTATCATCCAGACACTGCAGTTGCATCACTTGTGTTTTATCTTTTGAACCTCTGGCAATATCAGCTTTAATAACACGTCTATTGGCCAAATGCGATTTATGCGTTACACAAAGAGCCGGCGTTATTAGCCTCTTCAGCACAATGTATGAATTTGACTTGCTCTCTCACCATAGTCTGTGTTTTCTGGTTCCCAGCAGTTTGATGGCCAAAAGTATGGAGTCTGAAGGGAAAAAAATAGGTCATTAAGAAACAAAACTACAAGAAACCTCACATCTTTGGCAGAATTCAAGTAACCACATGGCGTTTCGGATCAAAGTGTGCGCTGCCACGCGAGGTGGGCATGCAGTCACAGTGCTGCATCTGTCACAATAAAACATTTTGTTCTGTAATGGGCTTGGCATTATGTCTAAAGCACATAAGCTCCTTTCAGAGGGTGCTTAGAGCAGACACTAGCGTGATTCTTGACCCTCCTTGGGCAGCATTGTACGGGCTGGCTTCTGATGCGGAGCGATTACACATTAAAAGCAAAGTGAAGCCAGCTACTAACACAAACAGCCTTAGGCATTGATTTACTCTGGTTAGTTCTTTGCAGCACACATGGGGGAACTCACTAGGTGGAAAAACTGTAAAACTGTCAGTCCCACTATTGACATTCAGAGTGATGTGCTTTTCTCCCCTTTCTTCAGTCACAATTATAAAGTACAGCAGTTTCCACGTTACTTTGTTTGTTTCAAACATCTTGGAATGAATGTCAGCTATTTAACACAGTATATTTTACACCTACTAGATGTAGTAGAACAATTTAGTGTCATGGTGCTATATGACTGAATACATAAGTGAAATTTCCTCTAAAATATATGCGATGACATAACGAAATATATGTGATGACATAACACGTGTTAAAGAATAATGGCATGGGAACAGCCTAAGTACGAGTCAAACTGAGTTACATTACATAAACCACAATTGACACCATATGACCTGATTTAAAATGTGGATTAAAGGTAAAGAATGCAGAGTCGACAAATAAAAGTTTACTGTCTTGTGTTTTATAGGTCTTGGCTGACTGAAAGTCTTTGACTCAAGCACAACAACCGGGGTCCTTTAAGGTTGTTTCTTCCTCTTAACTCTTCCTTTTTTTTTTAAACACTACCTTGTCACGTCAAGAGTATTATAATAAAATGCTTGGGCTTAGAAAAGATTCAGAGCATTACTGTTATTACTCTTACCTGAAACCTATAGAAAGTGCCATCGTCTTTGAGAGTGAGGACGTGGTCTGAGATGGGGAAGAAGTAACCATGTGCAGCCATCAGAGTTCCTAGGTGAAGAGCCTCCACTAGAAGACAACAAAGACAAAAAAAACAATTAAGTATGTTGAGCTCCCTCAGTTTTTTTCTCACTAACACTGCACACCAGCACATATAATGTGCTTATTATGCATGTAGAACATTCACACTTGTGTCAGCCTGTTTTGTAAGTGTGTTAAAAGAAAGAGCTGTGGAAGGAAGACTGTGCTGTGGATAGCAGCTCAGAAAGTTTCACAGCACCGCACAACTGCTGAGGTGCAAATATTATATAAATGAGAAGAACAAGAGACAGTGGGAACTTATTGTTGACCTTTAAGTTTCCCTTTATTTTACAATGTAGAACTGTGGCTATTACACTGGTTTACATACGACTTAACACCGCTCGCTTGAAAACACACATTTTTCAGTGTTTCTACAGACACTGAATTATAAACTTTAATGTACTTTATTAGCAATTATTTTCTTAATAAAAGAAATGTGCAAAAACCAAAAACTAAACAGGCCTTTAAAGAAAAATTACACTATATGTCACATTTCCAATAATGATTTCACCATTTAAAAATGAACAAATATGCTTATTTTCTTTTGTTCAGGTAGCTAGAAGACAAAATTAAGCACACCCTGAAATCAGGTGCACTAGCTTAGCTTAGCTTAGCTTAGCTTAGCACAAAAAAACATAGCCATCTTCCATCAAATAATCCATTAGCACCTCTGAAGATCACTTACGACATTAACACATATCACATTCGCATAATTTCTTCAAAAAACTCGAGCGTGAAAATGACAATTCGCCAGATTACGAGGGTTATGTGTCTGACTGTTCTTGGCCGTGCCCAGAAACTTCTTGGACTTCTTCTGCTGCTTTCCTGGCCAATTGCTCAGAGCCAAGAAATAGTATGACACATAACAGCCTGTAAAATGTTAAATAGTTGGTGTGTTTTTTTTTTTCACTTCGGATTAAACAAACAACTAAACAAACAATATACTGTGCTAATTTGAGGGTTTACGAGTGCTGGTGGGTGAGTTTAACATTTGACAGGGCCGGGCTAATTGTTTCCTTCTGTCATGATGCACGCCGAAGCTGTTCGGCTGCCTGCTGCGGCCTCGTATTTAACAGACAGAGACGAGATCTTATCGTCCAACTTGTCGTCATAAAACAAATAAGCCAGTTTTTTTCTCAAAATGTCAAACATTTGCTTTAAGAATCAGGATGATAAGGCCCTTCATTAATTTAAATTCTAACTGCCTCTCTTTACAAGCACTCTTTATTCGGACATTAAAAGACAAATCTGCTTTGATATCTCACGTTTTCATTAAACGGAGATCCTCTGATAACTTTGCAATCAATAGTTCCTCATCACAGATCCTGGGCCAGCTTTTTTTTTTTTTGTCCGAACAACTAATTAACTTTATTCACCATTCATCCCCCGGGCACAAATTCATTCTTAACAAAATGGCCAGAACGGACACCGGGACCTGAATTAGGAGCTGCTGCTTCAATACACTGACACTGCTTTGGTCTCCATTCCAACCAAACAGCACAGCAGGAGGTCTCGCTGATTAGTCCACCTTCAGCCGGAGAGGCGGAACTCATCAGTCAAATCATCTGGTGTTGTGCTCAGTTGGAGTGAAAACCTGCTTCCCTCTGGCGCTCCGCCGCACATGGCTCACTGTCCCTGATTTCAGACCATCAGATAATGAAAACATGTAATCACCATCAAATATGTGCCACTAGTTATTGCCCGCTGCTCTAAACCTGCGTGTCCTTCATGGTGTCGACATCGTTTGGTGTAATTTGTTGACAGCTCTCCATTAATGCTGCCACGTTTTGTTCGTTCTGAACGGCGCGGGGAGAAAAAGTTTATTTACATCCTGTTTCTAACGTGATCATTGAATCTTTTGTGCGCGGCCCAGGGGAGGCTAACTCAAACTGACTTAACACGCTAATAGGCGAAGAGACGCAAAGGTTGAAAGGCTTCACTTAGTCTAAATAGGCAGCGCTATGAATACTATAGAAGGAGCTTAGTGTATGTATGCATAAAATATGAACTCCCTGGCACACACACTGGGTGTTTGTGCGCCAGAGATAAATATAGTTCAGCTTTTCCTTTACCACTGAGGTGACTGTCACAGTCTTAAGAGGTCAGGATGCTGCTTATGTGTATGCATGTGTGTGTGCTCCGTTTGTTAATAAATGATGACTCATAAGTTATTTAGACCTGTTTACTTATAAGCACCCCCCCTTTCCTCTTTACCCACTGCACTATTTCCTAAAGCCACTCTTAAAGCGATGTTATCCCTCATTTTATCCCTAATATTATCCCTAATTCTCTGACTTAAAGCTACATGGAGATACATGGTCTGTTTACATCTGTCCTCAAACTACAAAAGAATTAAAGCAGTCAGACGTTTCCAAAAGGGGAAAAAATAAAAAAACAACTCATCCGTATAGCTCCTTACTTATTATTCATTGGGAACATTCATTTTCTGGATTGCTATCTCAGGCGGGATGAATGTCAGATGAAAGTAAAGTCCGCAAAGCATGAAAAACGACATCTGGAACATTGCCATTAGAGCTTAATGTCTCCCGTTCTTCAACCGCAGACCTGATCGGTTCTCGTTTTGTGTGGCGTGTCAAAAAACACTTCACACAAAAGTGAGCAGAGAAAATCTGAGCGACAAGTTTTGACTTAACATCCAGTACAAAGATATAATACAAAAGCACACAGTGTAATTAGCACAAAAGAGCACATCTAAAAATGCTAAATCAGACTAATGTGGCTTTTCAGGGGGGATAAATAGAAGATTAACCAAGATTTTTTTTTGTTGTTTGTTGAGAAGGTTTTTGTTGTTCTTGTAAGTCTGTAAGTCTATAAAGATCAATTCCTAGTAGGAAGGGCGCTCCTTGGCTTCCATTTAGCATAACATAACATAAGCTTTATAGCTGACTAAACCTTGGACTGGAATTAGTCGAGCTGTCAAGAAAGGCCGGCCTCGGTGTCCAAGGGGAAAACACCCTTTGATTTCATCATATTACCAGCTATGTGCCAAAAACCCAGCAGTTTGGAGCCCTGCCAAGTGGAGTGTGGGAGTATTCTGCCAGCTGATCTTTATCTAAAGACAAGGGAAGGGATTCGGTATTGTAGCTATATTCTGATTATTATTGTTCGCACGAGATGCTGAGGTGGAAAAGAATCTTTGTTTTACTCTCCAAAGCACAAAGTAAAGGTTCGGTTTTATCTGAATAACTGTCTCGGGCCCAAATAGGTAAACTGATCTAATGTTTCATACAATGCAAATATTCTAGAGAGGTTCAAGATATCAATGCAAGTTTGCTTCCAATCAGATTTATCGTATATTGTTACTCTCAAGATGGAAATCAAGGTTGGAAATCAATAGACAAAACCAGCTGTTTTTTCTTTTCTTTCTTCTGCTGAACAAGCACTCCAAGGAAATGTTGCTGACTTTTGTATTATTGCAAACCTTGTAGGAGTTGTAGCCTTTATTGTGAAGTAAGCAACCACTTGCACGGGCGGTTTTGGTCAAGGAGGAGCAGATAGTGAATTCATAGGCAAAAAAAAAAACGTGCAACAAAGCCATTAAGAGGGCTGATAAAAGAACACTGATATTGCAAAGAAGCAAGCTATCCATATGTGTGCCAGCGTAGCGGCATATAGAGGAGGCAGCGATCTCAGGAGACTAAAGAATATTATCTGCGGTGCTCCTCTGAGTCTGACGAGGGGGAGGAGGTTTAAAGAGGGTTGACAGAGAAAACCGGGGGTCGTTATACAGAACCGTATGCATCCTCTCCGCGCTGTTCCGACGAGCCACGTGTCTTCCCTCGGATATCGTTTTACTACTCCCTGTTCCACTGAGCAGATTAGGTGCCCCTTCATATGCAATTCACACCCATAATGACACGCAGATACACGCTCACTGACAGCTTGACTGATAGTCTGGCTGTTTGTTGGTGCTCTGTTGTGGTCTGCTGAGTTTGGCTGTGGCATTTATCTTGCGTTGTTTAGTCGTGTTAAATGTTTAGATCGTTGCCTTCTGACAACTCGGTTCCTCCCACGGTGATGTAAATAATTATATACTCTTATTGTTTATGCGCATACGTGTTTGGGGCGTTGTGATTAAAAGCTTTTCACAACTTATTAGGAAATTCTATTATATAATTTTATGTTAAGCTTCATTTTTAGAGAGCTGATGTCTGTTTTAAAGCTTGGCAGTATCATAGCACATATCTAAGCAAGAAGATTTTAATAGGACCGCTCCCGATACCCCATTAAAGACTTATTTTCAAGCAGGTCAGAGGTCAGAAGAGCTGCAGACCGCTAATATGGAGCTGATTATATCTGGCCGAATCAAACTAATAACACAGAAAGGCAAATTCATGCCGTTATATATTGATAACTCTAAGAAAAGTGTATATAATCACTTCTGTTTTGCTCTTTTTTTTCCTATGAGAGGAATATATTTAAAGATTTTCCCATCATACTGTCAGCAATTTCAACGGGAAGCATAATATTGGCTTCGACTCGGCCAGCTAGCTGTAGGCTACACCTGAAGTGATAAAAAAAAAACCCATAAATATTCAGCATTGGGCAGGGAACATCCTTTGCAGCCAAACACTGCCTGAAGTGTTTGACCTATAGGGATCAGTAGATGTTTTGTAACTTCACTGATTTTCTGCGCGGCCTTAACTACAAACACCTCGGGCTGTTGCTTGATGTGGATTCTGGTCTTTACAAAGTAGAAGATTCAGTTTGTCGAACATGTCATTCACATTTATCTTGTTAGAGCTTCCAGTCCCTGTGTGAGCTGTCAGAACTGGACTACACAGGTGAGTACGCTAATAAATTAAGTGCAGGAGAACATCAGTGTGGTAAAAACCCAATAGTTTCTACAAATTATGGTAATAACGGTGCTATGATAAAGACTCACAACAAGACATCTAAAACTTTTGAGAAGAACTTTTGACGCAGAACTTTTTTTTTCTTGGCTAATCAAATGCAGAGATGAATGAAAACAGGATCGGGGACTATCGAGTTTTCCAAATCAGGTGATAATTAGTTCGTCAGATCCACGTCAGTATCTGAGGCATTCATTTAGCCCCCCCAAAAAAAACCCTCTAAATCCCCAGTCAACTTTGATATAAGCTCATCTGCCTTTACATAATAAACTTGCTGCTTTCGTGCTGAGAGCCAAATTAATTGCGTTTCTCTTTGCTGTGTTTGTCAGCCCCGCCAGGAGTTGCTCTGCGCTAAAGTCACTTAGTTTTTACACAGCACTCTGTTTACCACCGCAGGGCAACCAACAGCATGTTTTGTGTCCGTGCTGCAAAAAAAAAAAAAGAAAAAAAAAGGTGCACAAATAAAAGCATAGAAATAGTCTTTGAGGATAAAGAACATCTGCTTGCTTGCGCTGTTCTTATTTATTCAAAATCGCTGGTTTTAGCAATTTAGATGAAGATTATAGATTATATTAAAGAGAATTTTTAATATTAAAGGTGAACACAACAAAAATGCAAATTTGCTTTAATGGAATGACATAAATGTTGTTGCCAGAGTTCACTAACGGTGCAGCAGACATTAGCATCTGGGTCCAGTTAAGCAGATTTAACTGATCTGACAGCCTTGTTTGTGGTTTATTGTTTATGCATTAATTTATTTCTTGAGACATCACAGGGTCCCATGATACAGATACATAATTAATTAGAATGCTCATCTCAGGCAGGAGGAAAAGCATAATCTCTTGGGCAAATTTAAATGTCAGAGACTGTGCTTTGCCTCGGCATAAGCGAAAAAGAAAAAAAAAACAGAAGCGGAGGAAAAAAAAAAAGTACAGGGACAGTCTGTTCACTTGGATCAGTCGAGAGATCTCAAATACTGCAGGTGATTCGACTTACACATAAATATGCGCCGTACAAAGTCAGCACCACCACTGACAAACATCGACAAAGACAGGTAGATCCATGCATACAAATGGAACGAGACACAAAGGAATTGTTGGTTGATGAGTCACAATTACGAACTCGGTGTACAACGCCGAGGCGCCCACTAGAGCAGACTGAAATGCACACCCACACGCATAAACACTCCAATATCCAAGTACATACACTCACAGTCACCAAAAAACTCTGAAAAGCTGCTTTTCACACCAGCCAAACTTCTTTATCACCATCTTTAATCTTCGGAAGCACTTGGTTTTAACTTTTCCACATTCGTCACACTTCACCCTGCCCACTTTTGACTCATTTTGTGTGCAATGACGGGTTCAGCGAGTAATTCGGCATCACCTTCAAGACTGCCTGGTTTTTATGCTACCACGGTGGAATAAAATAAGAATTATAGGACGGAAAAATGGGAAGAAGAAGAAAAATAGCAGTGCCGTAGCTCAAGGACACAAAAAGACAGATCAAAGAAAAATGTAAAACTGTGGACTTTTTACATATAGTAAGCTAATGGTACATAGGTTCCAACATGGCCTGTGGGGTTTTCTCTTTCTTTTATTGCAGACTAATCTAATTTTAGGTTGTACAACATCCGATCAGCCCCTCTCCTCTCAATTAGCCCTGGAAACAGCCAGTAAGCCTGGCAGACACTACAAAAAAAAAAACTCTAACAACGTGTAAGTGCCAAAACGAAGGCAGCTGATCTTGTTTAGTTGCTTAAAGATGTTTCACTTCTCATGCAAACGGCTTCTTCAGATCTAACTGAGTGGTGGGGAGTCCCAGGTATTTAGCCTCTTGCTGGCACGTTTTCACAGAGGTCACCTGAGTTTACCTGGCCAACATGTGAGTCACGCACCATGACTCATGTGATCCTCACACCAAGAGGTCGTTGAGATGAAACATGTTTAAGAAACTCAAGCAGGTTCAGTTGCCTGTGTTTTAGCACTTCTGTGTATATATCATGACCTGGATAACTAAGAAGGGCTGCAAGGTGGCTCAGTGGTTAGCATCGTTGCCTCGCAGCTAGAAGGTCGCCAGTTTGTGTCCTGGTGAGGACACCTGGGATCTGTCTGCGTGGAGTCTCCATGTTCTCCCCGTGCAGCGTGGGTTCTCTCCGGGTTCTCCGGCTTCCTCCCACACAGTCCAAAAACATGTTGAGGTTAATTGGTGATTCTAAATTGTCTGTAAGTGTGAATGTGAGTGTGCTTGGTTGTCTGTCTCTCAGTGTGGCCCTGTGATAGACCCCCCACGACTCTAGTGAGGATTAAGTGGTGTATAGATAATGGATGGATGGATAACTGAGAAACCTCACAGACAACTGTAACAAAGACATCTTTGAATTTAATCTTTATATTCGCATAAATTAGCCCTCTGAACCCCAAGCAGTTCATGGATATTTTTTCTGCTTCTGTAATATTTTTCTAACTATGGGCTAATTTTTTTTACTACTGTATAAAGTCCTACACCTTTATGGAAAGAGCACAACCATGGCTACAAATACAGAAAGCACAATAATGTGAATGTGCAATATGGCACAGTTATGATGCCATCAATCATAAACAAGCAGATTTTTTTGGATTATCTGTTTTTCAAATATTGAAAAACTCTTTGATCAACATATACAACATTCTTCCAAGTGCCCACAAGTGTTACTAATACAAGAGAAAAAAACAATGTCTCCTTATGCTATACATATTTAATTACCTAATATTTCAAGTTTGCTTCAGTTCTTGTTCTGTATCTGCTCTGTGTAAACACTGCCTGCAGTTCAGCACAATTCAGTCAAAAAGTCTGAATTTCTATCATGTGACTGTTGGTCACTGAGTCATTATTGTTTTTTCAGTTGTGCTGTTAAAGGCAGAAAATTTTGCCTTTTACAGAGTTTAGTTAAAGTAAATGTTTAATGTTTTGCCAATTTTTAAACAAGACACGTAGAATAAAGTGCTCTTGATGAAATATCACAATACTGAGTGACAGTTTAGTTCATTTTCTCGAAGGAACGGCACATCAGAGGTGAGCAGTTCAAAGCTCTGTTGGAAAGTTAAAAATCAGATAATTCTCTCTGTTTTGTTCCATTTACTGCCTCTGACAAATGGTGTCATTTTGGTGATTTCTTTAAAGATAGAATGCCTTTCAAACCTGCCGGTAGCTCCTTTGTAAATGTGGCACAATTGAGCTAGCAGCAGATTTTGATGCAAACTGTGGCGAGTGTGTGACAAACTGCCTCCATCATTTGTGCGTCACATCCACTGCTGCTGAACTGCCTGCAGACCCTGCTGTTAAAGAGGCCAAATCAACAGCCGAATGAGTTCCCACTGTTTTCAGAACACCTAGATTAATACTGAGCATTTTAATATTCAGCTTTTTACCTTGATCTTCAATGTCCAGATTCTTGATCATCCACTGTACAATATCAGAACCTGAAACAAGAGAAAGCACATGAATATAAATCACTGGCATCACACATCAGTTCACAGTGTACTCAAACACTTTTTTTTTTGCATATAGATGCAAATGAAAGGGAAAACAATGACACTGTTAACCCTCCTCCCTCCCCTCATCATTACAGTTCATACCAGTTCCTCTCGCCTTGCACCATGTAGGTGGGTAATATGCCATCCATTACCAAATATTCTTCTCTGACACCCTCTGCGAGCCAGCTCTCTTTGGCTGAAGTCCATTAATATAAATGACCACAGAGGTAAAATGGCACAATAAAGCATGCGTTGTTTACAGTAACAGCACAGTTTGTCTGACGCAAAGCATTTAATAAGCCGTCGTACATTGCAAGCCGTCAGAAACAAAAACTAATATGTGGACGGGTCAGAGTAGAAACTCAAGGGAGGAGAAATGCATAAATGCAAACCTGAGCAGAACACAAGGTAATATAGGTGATTCAAGTCTTCTTGAAACAGCTGACGCAATCATCAAACACTACTTTGAGTTGAGGTATAAGTCTAAAGATGACTCGTATATCCCTTTTGCCCTTTTGTCTAGAAAGGGCAGCAAACTTTTTATATGATGGATGTCATTTTGAATCTTCTCCATCTGAGAATGCAACTGAATCATTTTCACATCTCAGAAAAACATAACAGCATCCTCTGCCCCCTGGGCGTTTTCACACCCCGGCACACCATGTGACTTTGGCACTTTGGCTAAATATATATTTTCCAAGCTATCATTACTGTCTGTCATACTGACAGGTGAAGGTGTATTGAGGAGACGAAAGCCACAGAAGGCAGAAAAAAGGTGTGAAATGAGGGAATTCATGCAGTGAGACAGTCGAGCCCCGTGGCTGTCTCTCTGTCCATCAAGCTGCCTTTCCGTCTGTCTGCGGTTGGTCTCTCCGTTTCTCTTTTAATGCACCCCTTTGCTTTTTGTTTTTTCTTTTTTTTTTGCGCCCCCATAACCAGATGAGATTTTCCGTGGATTATCATCATTAATACAACCCCTGGTTTCACACTATCAAAGTTGACCCACTTTCTTTGAGGGAGCTTAAATGAGACGTGTAAGGTAATCCTCTAACAAGGATGTTCTCCCAATTGATTAATATCATGACCATAGATTGAGCTGTGCACTTGTGCTTTTGTGTGTGTGCGTGCACGCAGGTGAAAGCGTTTGATTGCATTGTGACAATCATTTAAACAGAATGCTGGGCGATGCGATTATCAATTATTAATTATCCCAATGATGGCAGATATTGGATAATTTCTGCAGCACACAGAAACAGGATACAGCGAAGGGCAGCAATGTAAAAGATGAACAGCTGGTAACTGATGCTTGAACATGGGAGGCAGAAATGATATATGAGTGTATAAAATGAATTATAGTTGGAACAATCACGTTAGTAGGACCGGATGAGCTGTATTCTGCACAGAAAGACAATAAAGTCAACATAAAGCTATGAGCAATGGAGAAGTAAAGGGAAACAAAATGTACGAAAATGTGCTGTAAATGGTACATGCCATTATAGCTATGTAGGAAAAAGAAAAAAACACAAAACAGAATGTTCACTGACCTCTGACGTATGTGACATTTGTTTGAGCATCTACAGAAAACAGCAGCCCTCTGTTTCTAAGCTATGGATCTGTTTTTCAGTTTAAAGACACAAGAACACCTAACACAGAATACCACAAAACACACGGTGACAACACACACACTAATTCCAAACATCGTCATGCAAAATCCTCACATTAAACGTACACACAAGAACTTCTCTTGATTTAAAAATGCAGCTTTATAGCAGTAAAAGAAAGAACAATCATCACATATACAACAGTTATGATAAAAAACTACAGTGTGGGAACCATTTCTGTTAGCAATACAATCATATTTGAATAGTTATAAGTGACTGACAAAAGAAGCAATCAGTGTAAAGTTGTGGATCTAAATGGTGACAACATAAAGTCAGATTGTAGAAAAATGTCCAGATCCACTTGAATATGTTCACATTGACACTACTTTAGCTCCACGATGAGGCCAGGATTGGAAAAACTGTACAGTTCTTCACAAAACATATTGCAATACTTGTGATTGTGATGTAGTTTTTACACATGTCGACTTTGCATATGGGGGAGGCAGCAGGAAGGTTCTGATTTGAATCTTTCTGTGACGAGTTCTGCATGTTCTCCCTGTACCTGCGTGGGTTTTCTGCAGGTCTCCAGAGTCCAAAAACATGTATGACAGGTTAACCGGTGAGTCACCATTGACTGTTCCTGTGAGCGTGAGCGTGCATGCTTATGTGCATGTATAGTATTGTAATCGGGTAAAGCTACAGATGATGTACAACAAATCTGGGAATACAATCCATGTGCTGCAGCTCTGTTGTACTGCTGCAGACATAACCAGTATAGCTGTTTGCTAGCTGTGCTGATGGCATAATATCTGCCACAATGACAGCAAAGAGATGAATCTGAGCTGACGTTGATTACACGGATTGAAAATTAATCAGTGGAGACTTTTTTTTTTTAGCTCTTTAAATTTGTTCACATTGAGTTGCTCTCTGCCACTGTTCATCATCTTAGCCACCCATGACAGAAGCTCCTGGATATGTAACTGGCCATAACGAGCCAAGTGACGGTGACCAGCGGTGGTTCTGGCATAGCTGAGGCCCTGAGGCAAAATTGTGCAAAAAAAAAGAGGAGGATTAAACCCAATTTCTGCACTTATATATAAAAAAAATAATAATCTAAGATGTCAGTTCAGGGTTTGGTTTGTTTAACTATCAAGAGACTTTTATAAAACCTTAATATTTCATCACATATATCAATATTTTTCTGTTCTTATTGTGTGCAGTGAAAAATGAACAGTCATGATGGGTTCGAATGGGAAGAGAAGAGAAGAGAAGAGAAGAGAAGAGAAGAGAAGAGAAGAG